CACAAGGGCCTAGCAGAGACACTAACAGCACCTCTGTCCTCTCCCAGGCAATGTCCTAGCAACCCTGAATGGGAGTGTGCTGGACAGCCCTTCGGAGAACCCCAGCACAGCAGCCACAGAGACTGAGGGGCAGAAGCTGAAGAACGTCCTTGTGCTGAGCGGAGGGGAAGGGTACATTGATTTCCGGATTGGTGAGTGCCTGTGGTAGAAGGAATCTGGGACAAGGGGTGTGCAGGGCAGAGAGGAATTGGGGCAGTGGCGAGTGAGATCTGAAAAGCACTGATCTGTCTCCTGCCTCTGGCTGTGAGGGCAGATAGTGAGCATTTTCTTTGCAGAGCCTGAGGCTGCCAAACCCTGTCCCTGCCTGTGCCTGCCATGCCACAGAGTCTGTTTATGTCCCTGGAAATTAAAAAACATCTGTGCCACTGGCTCCAAACATTGCTGCTGCACTGTGGTCACCTGTACTGCTTAAGGGCGCTTGGTGTTATAAACATTGGCTTCCCTGAAAGGAGTTTCCTGCTGCTGGAGATTGCTTGTTCCATCCATGCAGTCCTGCTTCAGAAAAGCACCATGTTGCTGTAAATGTTCTCCGGGCATAAAGGAAGATCTCAGCTCATGCTGTCTGTTGTTAGGCTGCCGAGATTGTATCAGGGGTATGGGTCTCTTTGAAAGTATTCCAGAGCACTGCAATTCGGGATTTTCTTTCTTGCCTTTTTTACTCTCTGTTTTCTCTCTTCAGGGGATGGAGAAGATGATGAGACAGAAGAGAATACAGGAGACACCACCCAGGTGAAGCCAGTACTTTCTAAGGCTGAAAGGAGCCACATTATTGTGTGGCAGGTATCATACATCCCTGAGTGAGAATTTCTCCTTTCCCACCAATGTAAGTGTCCCTCTTCCCGCCTGAATATCACGATGTACATACAGAACGCCTGCATTATCCTACTGCTGGAAACCGACCCCAGACAACTGCAACAGCTCCTGCCTCGGACTGTGACCCCCTTCTAACCTCTGAACTTGCAGTATTCATCTTGGGCCCTTGCGCTTTCTGCGTGGTTGGGTTATTGTTCTGCTCTGGAGCTGGCATGTACAAGGAGAGAAATGGCAGTGCATTGATGAAGTGAGGCTGGAGCTACAACTGTGCAAAGCCTTTGCCCAGTGCACAGGAGCTGGCAGCTGATGGTGGTGGGTCAGATCCTCTGGCAAATTGCCTCACTTCCACCTGCATGAGAAAAACGTGCATTCCCTGCCAAGCAGTGGTGGTGAATCACAACTGCTACAGCGTCCTCACAGAAATCCTTTCTAGTTCACCAGTGGACTCTTCACCTTATCTACCCTTAAGCACAGAATAATGTCCCACAGACTGAGAGCAGGCAGGTCTAAGGAGCTCTCAGTAGAACAGAGTGTCAGGGCTTGGCTAGCACTTACGCTCTTTGGCTGGAGAAGGCAGCAGTGACATTACTGTGGGAAACCCATCCTCCAGACTTGCAGGTGGAAAGTCTCCCTTTGCTGCTGTTGTTGCAGCAGTCATGTGCTGGCTGACTGCATGTGGCTGGAGAAGATTGGGTGGTGGTCTCAGATGGGAGATGAGTGATGGTGGAGGCTACAGAGCCTTTGGAAACTGGTAGTAAAGGGGTACTGGAACCTTGCTTTTTTTAAGAGCAGAAAAGGCAGCAATACTTTTAACTCCCCCTTCCAGAAATGCCAGGTAGAGAAGAACCCTTGAGTTATTTCTCAAAGGTTCAGGAGCAAGTTATCTCTGCATAGCATTTGTTGGCTTTTAAAGCACAAATGAGGGCAGATGATGTTTGTCTGCTGTGAATTATGCATTAACACATTGAGGCTACCTGGACTCACACGGCTGTGTCCCAGTCACAGGAACTGTCTGTTTTCCTTCACACTGTGGCTGTCAGTTAGGAAAGACACTGTAGATGCAGTTGAGGTATAAAAAGGCTATGTATCACCTGAGGTCACACAGAGAAAGGAACTGAGGCCAGATCTCCCAGCCTCTTAGATAACATCATGAGCATTGAATTTATTACTAAGTAGTTTGAAAAGCTGGAAATTTCTGACTCCTGGAAAGAATTGACAACCCTTGAGAAAAAGTCGTGCTGGCCCTCATTGTGTGAGCAGTGCTGGGGGATTGCAGCTGTGTGTCCTGCTTACAAGAGAAGCAGCAAAAAATGGGGCCAGGGAGAGTGGTTCTGAGATCCTGGTACAGAACATGGCCACTCCTGATGTAGAGGCGATGGATTGTCCTCACTTTCTGACAGTGGAAACAGTTCTGTCTTCTCAAGAACGAGTTCTGTTTCCTTTGAATGCTCCCTTCTGGATGTGCAGGACTAGATTGAGTAGCAATTGTTAGCAATGAATTTGGAAGCCTCTGGTGGTCATCTTGTTTGTTCTCTGAGCTGTGTAGCAGTTGAGGGTTCATGAGGATGTCTGTGTGCCAATGTGATGGTATGGGAACAGCAGGGGGAAGCCCCCGTCTCCTCGAAGGCTCCTGGCTGTATTCTGTGCTTGTTGCCACAGACCAGGCTGCCCCCAAGGCTGGTGGTCTAAAGCTACTCATGTGCTGCAGGAATAGTATTCCCAGGGGAAGCTCTGACATGTGGCATCTGTCTCAATGCAGCAGCACTGAAATGATTTTTGAATCCAAAGTTCAGAAAAGGCTGGGGCCCCCATCTCTCCTCAAGGAGGCAAGAGGGACATCTCTGGAGATGCCACCAGAGTAGAGCCACAGCGATGCCCGTGACATCCACCCACACTAAGGTGGAACACAGCTATACAGTGTTCTGTGGCCATTGGCACACTGGGCTCTGTGGCTGGCATGTGGTGAAGGGATGCTTGGAACCACCACCTGCATGTGGGAGGACCTTTCACCAGGGACATGTCACCAGGGCACTGCTGACAGTGCCAGGCTTTGTTCACTTCCCCAAAATGCTTTCTGTAGGAAGAGCTGTTTGGATCACAACAGAGTGTATTGGTGTTAACAAGATCAACATTCAACACAAATTCCAGACACATAACAGCTGATCAGTTAGGGCCAGGTAAAGTTTAGGATTTGGGCATACTGAAGAGGGTAAAAAAAAAAAAAAGCCCTAGTAGGGATCAGTTCGTTGGCTCTGTAGGGAAAGAGAATTGCAGTGTTCTTACCTCTTACTTTTTGTTCTCTATCTGGTTTTAGCAGTTGAAGTGACAGTACTTGGTTTCCTGTCAGCCCCTGCGCCCTGCCAACATTAAGGAAACCCATCTCAGGCCTCTGCCAACAGGTTCCTTTCCAGCTCAGTGCAGAAGCGTATGCCCAAGAGGGGCAGCTACAGCTGAGTAGAACCAGCCTCTGCTGTCAGCTTCTGGAGGCATTTGGTGGCTGCTGGGCAGCAAGGTGATAACTGACTGGCTTCAACACATTTCCCTGTCATATCTCCACTGTGATGTATGTAAAGTATCTTGTATGTTACAAAAGGATTTTAAAAAGTGTCTTAAGGCCTGTAAACTCCGCTCTTTGGTCTGAAGATGGCATTCTGTAAAGAGACTGCTGTGTGAATATGTTCCCATGCTTTGTCCCCTACGCTATGAAACAATAATCCATATCTGTTCTGTATGTAATAAATGTGTTAACATCAGCAAATGTGGGACATCTTCCTGTAGAGGCACTGGGAGTTCTGCTCAGTGTTTAATAGCTTGAGGACACTTAAAAGGGTGGGAATGGCAGCTCAGATGTTCACCATTAAGCATTTTAGTGGCAAGGAATGAGGTGTGGATTGCTCACCAGGTCGGAGCAGAAAGTCCTGCAAGGCACAGGTGCAGCCTGTAGCTTCCAGTGTCAGAAGCAAAAAGGAAAAAAGACAACGGTTCTGCTGTCCTGGGGTGTCCCCTTCAGGTGAGCTGCAAGGGTTAACACATCAGGCTCAGCTTTCAACACTCAATTTGCCAGTGTTTTTTGTCAGTACCGGGTGGTACTGACACAGGAATGGGTGATGTTCAGCATGCAGGAAGTGAGCTCCTTTTAGTCCCAGCAGCACTTAAGGCACATTCATATTTACTTTGTAGAACTGCATTAATTCAATATGTACAGCTATTAATTCAATGGCTATACATAGCAACAAGGAAGCCACCTTCTTATGCCCCACCAGGGTCCCTGAAGTGAGCCACCTCCATGGTTCCAGGCCAGGTAAAGCAGGGCACTGCTCCTGAGGTAGTGGAAGCACCATTACAGTGAGGTTTGGAAATAGGCCTAGGACCTATCCTGCACACCTGGGTCTGCAGTTGGAGCAAGGCACTGGATGAAGTGCAGCTGTGTCTCACACCCACCCAGGTGGTTGCAGTCATCTGTGCACAAGTTTGAGGGCCAGCAGAGCTCCTGGTGTGTTCTAGGCAATGAATCCAGCACACAATAGAACAGGACTGTGCAGCTTTCCGAAAGGGCACCTTCATGATCAGACAAGGCTCTCGCATTGCCCAGGGCTCTGTGTGAAGGCCCAACTGCCCCCTGCCAAGTGTAAGGCCCTGACGTCACCAGCAGGCCATGACTGTCCTGATCAGAACAATCCCACCCATACAATGGCCCTTTTCACCCATGGTCCAGGAGCCTCATGTAAGCACTATGCAGGACAGAGGACCGGGTTGTTCTGCTCATCCCACCTAAGTCACATCTACCCCTCCTCTCCCACCTCACTTGACCTGAGTTATGTGCTGGTTCAGTAGCACACTGACCATGGTAATGACAGCAAGGCATCAGCCCAGCACCTGGTGATGGAGGGCCATGGAAGTCAGTCACTGTCTTCCATCCAGGGCAGCTGCAGTGGGAAGTCTCACAGCCTCACAGTGTTTGTGCTTCTGGCAACACTCTGGATTTTCCCTCCCCTGGGTTCTCCCATTGCTTCTGAAGTCAGCGAAGCAGCAGCCCTACAGAGCAATAAGAGATTAGCTCTTACCAGCCTTTGCTCCTTGTCAAACGACCAGCTCATGACCTCCATGCACTGAAAAAAAATACCAGGTTTTCTTCAAGCATTTATTTTCATTAGTAGATACATTCATACACAGTTCTGTGAAATAATGCAATATTCTCAATCATTTTTGTCTGATATATGTAGGACCCAAATTATTTAAAAAAACCAATGTTCTTAAAAAAACTAATTTTCAGGCTGAAAAGGAAATTGTGCTCCAAAGAATTGCAGCTGGATGACAGGAGCTATGCCTTCAGAAACTATACAGGGAACCAAGAACGTTCCTCTGCTGACTGAGACCAAAACTATGATAAAAACAAAGCTGAATGCATCTGTATCTTTCCTTCCAGACAAGGTGACTGTACAGGCCTGGGGAGAAATTCAGGAAACCTGGATACACCTTACCGCAGCGGACAAGGGAGTCTTCTGCAAGATGCTGTACTTCTAACACACTGAGAACACGTGGGAAGCTCAGGACATTGGACAAGCCTTTATACTGGTGTCCCTGTAGCTTTTTTCTTTGCACATTGACGGGGAGAGGCAATGACCTTCTCCAGGTCAATCATCGGCTCCTCTGTGATTTGCTTTCCCTCTTTCTGCCACTGCGCCAGGATCATGGCTCGGAGCAAAGGTGGGTATGGCAGGAACCGAATGGTCTTCTCCTGCACCGGGGTGAATTTCTTGAAGGCCTCCTCCTCGTGTTTGGGCACCATACGCCAGTCATGGTACATGACTTTGTTGATCTCTCTCACTTCTTCTTCAGTTTTGCCTGAGAAAAGATAATAAACACAGTGAACAACACTATCCACAACAAACTCCCTCCAGGAAATGCAACAAGTTTTGGCTCTAGGGTACCGAAGATCCTACAACTGGCAATAACTAGTAAAGGAAGTTTCTCAAATGATCAGACAGTATCTTCCCTGCTATACTCTAGGATCCCACTTCTGTCCTTGGAAATCCAAAGAGAAACAGGCTGAAAGGAATACAGGAAAGTTGTTCCAATTCTGTGGTTGACTCCCTCTTTTAAGTTAAAATGTCACTATCTGTCCAGTTCCATTTCCATGGCTAAGGAACAAGAGTTCCTTTCACTGATTACAGTTCCCTGGGAAATATTAAAAATACCCAATACCTTTAAAAGCTCTGAATAAGAAATGTTTCAGAAACTCTAGTAAGTGTCAATCATGTGCCTAATATAAAGCAGCTTTAGAAATGGTAACTGAATCCCTCAACTCCAAGTGTTAATTTAAAATCCCAGTAACATAAGTTTACTTGACATCACTCCTATTTTACTGACAATTTTACCTCGAATACCTTCATGCATTCCTTTTATGTTTTGCTTTTGAAGACTCAAACTAACCTGTCACCTCACTTAACTCCCTGAATGGCATGCTGTCCTCCCCGATAGTCAGCCTACACTGGCTATCTCGCAACATTCCTTAGAAACATACTGTGGGGGCCAGATCCCAGCACTGGAAACTGAACCATGCGGAACTTTTGTCATTAACAGATCTGAGAAAAAGTTCTTTCCCAGGTAGGAAGGCTGTGGTTTTCCTGCAGCTCTCTCACCTTCCCATATGCCTTCACTTGTTATTCTCTGGTCCCACTTACAGATGCTCTCTCCAAACCTCATATGTAGGAAAGTAAGTTGGTTTTACCTCTGAAGGTCAGGTAACCCCAAGCTCTTCCATGATCCATATTCTGCAAAGAAAACAAGAAACTGTTGAAGGGGGAATGGCTTTAACCTGACAGAGGGGGGACTGAGATGAGCTCTTAGGCAGAAGCTCTTCCCTGTGAGGGTGCTGAGGCACTGGCACAGGGTGCCCAGAGAAGCTGTAGCTGCCGCATCCCTGGCAGTGTTCAAGGCCAGGTTGGATGGGGCTTGGAGCAACCTGCTCTAGTGGAAGGTGCCCCTGCCCGTGGCATGGGGCTGGAACTGGATGAGCTTTAAGGTCCCTTCCAACCCAAAGCAGTCTGTGGTTCTATGAAGCGGCGGGCTGTGAAGCGCCGGCGGGGTGGTATTACCTCGGCCGTGTAGTCCGCCTTCACCTTGGTGATGACCCAGTAGCAGGGTTCGTCGTGCGCCCACAGCCAGGACTTGCGGGTGACGGTGCGGCCCACGCCGAGGCGCGGCAGGCGGCAGAGCAGGGCCAGGAGACGGTTCTCGTTCCGCACGTCCTCCCAGGCCAACACCGGCAGCCGCTTCTGCGTCAGGGGCCGCCGCATGGTCTCGTAGTCCAGGGCGAAGCGCTCCGAGTCCCGCGGCCGGTTCTTCAGCGCGCGGTATTCGCGGATCTTCTCGGCCACGGCGGCGATGGGCCGGTGCAGTTTCTTGCGGGCCATGGCGCCGTCCTGCAGCACCGTGCTCTCCACCATGAACCGCCCCGATTCGCCGAGTCCGGAAGCCCCCTGGAGCCCTTGTGCGGCGGAACCGTTGTGCAGTGGCGCAAGGGGCCTAGGGGACACTACCTCCTCACCGGATTCTGCCGCTCGCGGAAGTGTCTCGGCTGCCCTCAAAACAGAGGCGGCTGCCGGAAGCGCCTCCGCGTCATACCCCCGAAGGTCTCGCCGTCGGTTGTGGAGACACAACACAGCCGTGCAGCACAGACTAAAGAGTGGAAAACTGCAGGTCTGGTTGTATTAGCCATTGGATTTTGGCTACAGGCTGGCGCCCTGGGGTCGCCTAGGATAGAGTTAATTCTTTTCCTAGTAGCTGGTGCAAGTGCTGTGTTTTGGCTTTAGCTGAGAACAGTGCTGGTAACACAATGGTTTCGTTGTTGCTCAGTAGCATTTACCCTGGTCCAGGACTTTTCAGTCTTATCCTCTGCCAGTGAGGAGGGGCACAAGAAGCTGGGAGGAAGCAGAGGCAGGACACCTGACCCAAACTAGCCAAAGTGGTATTCCATACCGCAGCACATCATGCCCAGTATATAAACTGGGGGGGGGGGCGGCTCACCTGGAATTGCTGCTCAGGTCAGGCTGGGTATTGGTCACCAGGTACTGAGCAACTGTATTGCGCATCACCGCTGGTTAACAGTTTGATGGTTTTTTCATTCACCTTTTAGCTTTATATCCTCTCATGATCTTTCCCTTATTATTAATAGTAAGTATTACACTGAGCTGTTCTTATGTCCACCTGCAGGTTTTACATTCTTCTGATTCTCCTCCCAGGGGGTGAGCAAGCAGCTGCTGGTGCTGACCTACTGCCTGGGTTTCAACCACAATAGCTGGTAAACTTAACCTCTCAGGAGAAAAGTGGTTTGTTTGGGTTTTCGTTTTTAAACCAACACCTTGTACTAAAGTGAATGCATCCATTTGAGTACTGCTACAGAGCCCTTTACTGAAGGCACTTGGGCATACAGAGACTTTTTTGTCAGCCTCCAAGATCAATGTGTGAAGAAGTGGGGAGAAGGGGGTCTGGGCTACACAACATAACAAAATGCCTTTTTTAAAGGCTGTTAGTGCTCTTGAAGTAGGACATTTTCTCCAAATATGGTGCATCTCTTGAAAAAGGACAGGCCTGTTGTAACAAGGAGGACATACCTGAATAAACTGATAAACACTGATCTAGAATAACAAGATACCCAACCTCAATCCACCCAAATCTGGGAGAAAAGGCAGAGCAATTAAACCACTTATTACAGGGTACAGTTAGTACAGAGTGAGCATCTTGAGTGAGCATCAGAGTGAGCACAGCTGTTAAGCTCATGCCCTTTAAGGCACTTAAGGTTTCTATGGGGGCCCAGAGCAGAGAGGACACAAGAATGTTTGACGAGTTGTGAAACTGGTTGAGTCAAATGTGCAGAAAGGCAACTCCTGACACAGATTCACCAGGGAAAACTGGTGTAACCCTACAACAGCCGGCGAGAGACAGCATCTCCCGGCTACTACGGCAGGTGAGTGGGTGCAAACTATATTCTAAACCTGACATCCTCCTCGTCTGGCCTAACAGGAGTCACACGTGCAGGTCACAAATGCTCCCTGGTGCCCAGCCACCCCGCAGAGTGTGCACCTGGACAGCGAGGTGCCCTGGGCAGTAGCAGAGTCCTCGGTTTACTTTTCCTCTGGCAAAATCCCTTATTAAAGTACATCCCTTCACTGCGGGCTGCCGCAGACACTCCGGGAGCAGTGCCCTGTACGACAGGGGGAGACCCAGCACCGCCACTGGACTATCGTAACCGCTTGTTCCGACGTGTTCAGCACAAAATTCTGCTGCCTGACGGCTCCTCCTGAAACGCTGGCGGCAGCGGGACCGCCTGGAGCCAAGGTAAGACACAGGCCCCTGCATCACGTCCAGCCCTAGCCTAACGCCATTACGATACTGCCCGTCCAATCGGTGTCGCAGCCACGGTCACGTGTCGGGGGAGAGGCCGCTGACAGCCCTTCCCCCCACGTGACGGGGGCTGCCCAATCTGCGCTGCCGCTGTCCCCCTCCGCTCCCCGCGGCGGTGTCGTGCTGTCCCGGCAGGCTTCGCGCGGCGCGGCTGGGGCTGTGTCGGTAAGATGGCGGCCGTGAGCCTGAGGCTCGGAGACTTAGTGTGGTGAGTGGCGCGGCGGGTGGCGGAGGATGGCGGGGCAGACACTTCCTGTGAATGAGGCTGAGGTGCTACCTGTGGCAGAGGATGCGGGGGCGGGGCGGTGCCGTGGCTGTGCCGTGTTCGGGAAAGCGCGGTGGGAGCCTGAATGCCGTGACGAGCGCTGTCATCCCGCAGCTGGGGGGGTTTCCCGACTCCTGTCTGCGGGTAGGGAGGGGTTCGGCAGCGCAGCCGGCGGGGGCGCTGCGGGCCGGGCAGCTGGTGGTGCTACTGCTGGCCCTCGGGGGCTGTGTGAGGTGGGGCGGGGGGGCTGTGATCCGCGGCAGTGTGCTGAAGCGGGCCGGGAGTAGGAAGGCTCGGTTCTTGGCCCGGCCCGCGTCGGAGTCTAACGGGAGGCGGCGCATAAAAGAAGCAGTGTAAGAAGGAGGGAGTGAGGGGAGCCGGGTTAGGGGGCCGATCGTTGCGGGGCTCTGTTGGAAATATGGTGTTCTCCCAAAGGAGGTGAGAAGGGACGTAAAGTTAGTAGGTGTTTAGGATGAGTAGCGATACAATTTCTTAGCAGTGCTTTAGTGAACCGATACGGCAAATCGGGAAAACTGGTTTTTTTGCACGTTAGGATGTCCCTGTTGTAGCTCACAGAAGCCACTTTTGTCACTCCGGTTCTGCCCTCTAATAGATGGAGACCTGTATTTTTTTTTACCTGTGTGTATTTCCTGATCAGAAGGGAAATCCATCAAGTCCTCCAAGCACGATTCTTTAAGAGCATTGGCCCTACTGTACTTGATAGGCCAGGGTGTGCTGCTAGGGTTTGCAAGAAATAGCTAATTCTCAACACGCAAGTGCATGCATTTATATTTATATCCCAGATAAAAAGAAGCGCGTGCTCCATGCTGTGACAACTGCAGTTTCTCATCCGAAAAATTGACAGTGCTGTGAAGTTGTCTAATTTATATAGCAAAGTAAGTACAGATTGGTTCCTTTTAGCAAATAATTTATCTTTTTTTTTTTGAAGGCAGATTTGGGGAGTGCACTGCTTACAGTGTTGGAATGCAGATTATCCTGCTTTAGTTTTGTACATGACAACCTAGACAAGTACTACCCCTAGAGCCGTCACAGAAGAACTCTGTACAAAGACAGTAGCATAGGAAAGGCTTTGATGAATGTCTTGTTCAGTACAAGAATGGAAGTACCAAATATGAGACACGGTCACTGTTCCAGCTCTTGGCAGTGTTCCTGCCTGAACATGGCTGTGGAATAGTCTGTGCAGCATTGCCATCTCACAACCGCTTGCTGAGAGTTTGGGAGTGGTGGGCTCCATAGGTTCTTTACCAGTCTCTTGCAAGACAATGACTGATAAGGTTTTGTGAAAGCATTGCCACCATGCTGAGGGCTAAGACTAATGTCTCGTCTGTGAATAAGTACTTTTGTGTAGTTTTCATAATAGAATCATTTGCAAGCGTAGGAAGTAACTTTTCTGCCTTTTTAAATGGCGCTATTACATCTTTAGCATGTCTTGCTGTGGTGGTGAGCACCTGAAGAAAGTGGTATGGAACTGTTCAGGGAATCCTTACAGTAATTCTTTCCTGTGAGAGCTTCTAAGAATCTCAGTTCTCTGAGCTGGAAATCAGTGGCTGCTCTGCTCACTGGACTGTTATGTCTGAATGACTGTAAGTTACCAACCTGAACTTTGGTTTGATTGCCTGCATCAGTATATTTTTCGGTTCCTTGTGAGGGAATATCCAGTATTATGGGAGTAATAAGCACTGTAACACTGTGTTTTCCAGGCAGTAGCGGTGCTGCTGCTGATCTATTCATGTAAATTCTGATAGACTAGTGAGATCGTGGTGAGAGGCTTAGTTTAGGTGCAGGTATCTAACAGTGTAATGCTAGTATGTCAGCTGTGTGTCCTGTCTGTCACGATAGATTTAGAATGTAAGTTGTAACTCTCTTAATACAAAAAATGTAGCATAATCCAAAAACATAAACATGGGATAGCTGGTCTGTTTGTTTGTTGGTTGGTTGGTTTTTCTTTTCCTCTTTTTCTAGTGCCTAATACTTTTTTTTTTCTCTAGGGGGAAGCTGGGCCGGTATCCTCCATGGCCAGGAAAGGTGAGGTTTGGTGGCTGTTTGGTTTTTATTGGGTTTTATGTGTGTGTGTGTGTGTGTGTGTGTGTGTGTGTGTGTGTGTGTAGGGTTTAGTTTTGTTTTTTTGGTTTGTTGTTTTTTTTTGTTGTTTGTTTGTTTTCCCCATCATTATTGTATTACTTTCTTAGGTTTTTGTGGTGTTTTTTGGTTGGCTAGTTTTGCTTTTTCCTTCTAGACTGAGAGAGTTCTGCCTGAAAGCATTTCAGTTGAAGATTAATACTGGATCTTGTTTGGTTTTTTTTTTGCTTTATTTTGTTTTGGTTTGGGTTTGGTTTTGTTTGTTTGTTTGTTTTTAATACATATCCCACAAATTAACTGTGAACCAGTTTAGGGCTTTATTTGATATGGTTCAGCATGTCACTGACATCTGTTAGTTCAGATGTAATCAAAAGTAACAGAGAGCAGTTCTTTCAGCTCTGAAACTGATCGTGTTTCCCAGATTTATTTGTTTAATTCTTACTGGTTTCTGCAAGATAAGTTTCTTTCCTCCCATAGTAAGTTAAATGCACTGTGTTAAGTAATAGAAATAGTCTGTCTTCTCAAGATATTTTTTAGAGCCATGTTTTTTGAGTAATCCTGGGTTAGGAAGTAGTTTAACTTTCTCTTCTGATTTGGTTGGTTAGGGTTTTTTTTCCTGATGAAAGGCCAAAAAGATTAAAAAAATTGTATGTGCTGTTTTTATTATTTCTACTTCTCTGAAATAACTTTGTATTTTTGGTGTATGTATAAGGATTAAGCACGCTGAGAGAACAGCATGTAGCAA